ATCTCTGGACCGCTGCGTCTTTAGATTCTCCAATTACGCTTCCCCTTCCCTGTGATACCCACTTTGCTCCCTCCCCCCCAAATTCCAATTGCTTTCCTGTCGGTTTCCCTTCCCGCCCCTCCTCACTACTGCTCTGCTGGGCTACCGATCTGCCATGATTCTTCTCTCTCTCACTTCCAATGTCAACACCTTTATTACTCTCTCCCTTTCCCATCTCTGAATCCTTTTCCTCTCCTCGTCACCCCTCGTTGACTTGCTTGGCATCTGACCTCCCTCAGTCAACCTCGCTTGTCTGGCCCCGGCCGTCGCTCGTGCGGCAATCCGATCTCCCATCTACCCCGCTTACCGGTGACGCGAGTCATAATTCTTCTAGCTCTGTATCCGACAGCATGGCTCAAAGCTCGTTTCCCGGCACCAACCCTTTCCTCAAGATTGGCACAAAAGACGACAAGTCGTCTTTCCAGAAGATTTCTGAAGAGGACGAGTACGAGGTGACGTCACCAACCGATCCCACCTTTCGTACCGCAAACGCGGCTCCCTCATCCTCCGGCGAAAACGCCGCCAGTGGTGAGCCGACTTTCACGGAAGTTGGAGGACAGATACGGTTTGGCAGGAGTCCGTTCGGTGAGGGGTATGGCGACGATGGAAATGAAGGCCAGGATGGCTTCCCCGGCCAGGGAGGACCCCGTCCTACGGGTGGCCTGGATTCCAGCTTTCCGAACAACTACGCCTTGGGGTCGTCGTACATCTGTGTCAGCGGAGTCTCTGAACCCGACGTCCGCGGGTGCAGATAGCTGGGTGCCCCCGTACCACGCGAAGACTACCGACCAGCTCTCTCGCCTTAAAACCGCCGTCAGCGGCAACTTCCTCTTCTCCCACCTGGACGACGATCAGTTCAAGACCGTTCTCGACGCTCTCGTGGAAAAGCCAATTCCGGCCAAGGATATCAAGGTCATCTCCCCAGGGCGATGCGGGTGATTACTTTTATGTGGTAGAAGATGGTCATTTCGACGTCTACATCCATCCGTCCGGTTCAGTACAGCCTGGTGCGGACGGCATGGGCAACAAAATCGGCTCCATCGGACCCGGTGGTTCCTTTGGTGAATTGGCCCTCATGTACAATGCACCTCGGGCGGCCACCATCGTTTCGACCGATCCCAAGAGCACTCTCTGGGCCTTGGATCGCATCACGTTCCGACGCATCCTCATGGACTCGGCTTTCCAGCGACGCCGCATGTATGAGGCCTTCCTGGAGGAGGTTCCTCTGCTTTCTAGCCTACAGCCCTATGAACGGTCTAAGATTGCGGACGCGTTGGAACCCATCAAATACCCGTCCGGCTCGACGATTATTACCGAAGGCGACCCTGGCGACGCGTTCTACCTCCTGGAGTCCGGAGAGGCGGAAGCGTTCAAGGAAGGTGTCGAGGGTAATGTCAAATCTTACAAACGGGGCGACTTCTTTGGCGAACTCGCCTTGCTGGATGATAAGCCTCGCGCCGCGAGCGTCGTCGCGAAGACGGATGTGAAGGTTGCACGGCTCGGCCGGGATGGCTTCAAGCGTCTGTTGGGACCAGTGGAGGATATCATGAGACGAGCTGACTATCAAACTAAGCCAGCAGCTGCGTGATGTACATGGTTTCTCTTTCTCTTCTTTCATTTTGGTCCTGGGAGAATCCGGAGTGGTTTTATGATATTGCTTGCCTGGGATGTGTTTATTATGATCCTTTGTTATTATCGACATCACCAGTCCTCTCTCTTCTATTGGTAGAGTGAGCGTGCTGTCAGAAGATTTGACAAGTCGGGCATCAAATGATTTTCATGCCAGATGAATCATTGGCTGTATTCTTCCGAGTTCTGTTGTCTGTTTTAAAACCGTTCACTGGCGTATCACTCTTGCTTTGTTGACGTCCGGTCCACCCGTATGCCGCTGGCGTGGACCTTTGAAGAACCTAGAAAAATGGACTATCTATGCAATGGGTCCTGCTATAAAATGGCATGGACATCTTTCCATCCATCGGACAAAGTGGCGGTCACCGTTCCACCACCAGGTCACTTCGCAACACCCACTTTTCTCCACCCGTCACTTCCATTCCCTCGTGCTGCAGACAGCGGTCTCCATGGCGGTGCAGGAGCGCCATCCCGGCCTCTGGAGCCACGAAGACCGGGTCCGGCCGGCGGTTGGACCGGGTGGGCTCTGGGTAGAAGACGGTCTCGCCGCCAGAGCAGGTGGAGAGATAGATGAGCAGGGTCCAGGTGGTCTTGGCTGGTTGGGGTGATCGGCCCGGAGCGGAGAAGGTGAGAGTATTAGAATCATCATCTAGATATGTTAGTACTCTGTTGAGAGTGTAGTATTCCTTTATAGATTGATCATAATAAGAGAATCACTTACAATGCTGTGCAAAGAATTGTCCCTTGGAATAGCGATAGATACGAATATTCGCATTCAACCCTAAGGGCTTCCCACCCCAGACATCCTTCTCAGTCCTCTGCGTCTCCAACTCCTCAAACACTCGCGTCGTGACCAACTCCTTCATGGCGGTCTCGCTCCACAGCATCTCGGCGAAGGCGTCATCCTGCACCTGGAACCGATCGTTGACGCGCACGGCATCGCCTTTCTTCGGTTTCCCTGGGGTCGTCGTGAGCGGGAGGGAGGAGAGGAAGGACACGTAGGATTTGCAGAGGGTGGAGGGGAAGAAATTGGGGATTAGGTAGATTTGATCTTCCAGGAGAGAGACGAGGGAGAGATCGGAGGAGGGAATGAGGGGACGGAGCGGAGGCCAGTTTGGATTGGGGGATGCGGGTTGTTTCTGGGGTTGGGATGGGGGTTGAGAGGCTTTGTCTTTTTTGGATTTCTTAGGGGGCATTTTGTCTGGTGTTGTAGAAGTCTTGTAGATGTGTTGCAGTACTATCTACCTAGTACCTGGGAAGGTGAGGAGTCTACTTTGTACCTAAGTACTGGGCCCATGCATGAAATATGGGTATGCGATGTCTTGGCAGCCGGATGCATGGCGATC